CAAATAATAATAATAATAATAATAATAATAATAATAATAATAATAATAATAATAAGATTTCCTTATTAAATATAATCATTTTTTTATATTTAAATTAATTTTCATCTATGTAATTTATCATTTTTGCACTTGTGGTCCCTAATTTTTTTTTATTGCAGTTTCTATCCCCTAACATTTTATAATATTTTAAAAATTGTTCTTACAGTTAATTACTATTAAAAAAAATTACATGCCAAATAAAATACATATTATATTTGTTATATTCCATTTCATTATTATTACATAAGTAAATTGATTTTAAATGTTTTTAGTTTTCATATACACCCAAAATGTAAAATCGGTACCTGATAGCGTTATAAGCATGTGTGACTTCTTCAATAGTGTCAAAGGTGTCGAGTCAAATGTACATTTTTTTTAGCACTTTCCACTTTTACAAGTCCAAAAAAAAAACAACATTAAATTTAGTGTTCTAAATAATTTTAGTATTTCAAAAAGTACTTTTTTAAAATAGTAAACTAGTGTTCCGAAAAGTTTTTTTTTTTAAATTATTATTTTTACATACTTTCAAGAAGTATTTTTTCAAACACTGAATTTATTATTTCAAAAAGTACTTTCAAAAGTGTGTCATTTTGCATAATTTTGAAAATTTCCTTTTAGAATAGTAAATTTAGTGTTCTAAAAAGTTTTTTTCAAAAGAATGTAAAAAAACACAATTATGAAAATATTTTTTTAAAATACTAATTTAATTATTTCAAGAAGTACTTTTCAAAATATTAAAATTAATGTTTTAAAAAGTATTTTTTGAAATACTAAATTTAATGTTGAAGTTTTTGAAAGTGTGAAAGAAGAGGAAATGTTTGAAGAAAAATGCATGTTTGATTTAACACCTTCGAAACTATCTAAGAAGTCACACAGGCCTACAATGTTGTTACGCACTAGTTTTACAGTTTAAATGTATGTGAAAAAGGTGAGGGAAAAATAGAGTAATAAAAAAAACATAAAAAATTAAAATTATTTACTAAAATAAGTGAAAAGTAGAGGAAAAAGAAGAGAGTGCATATGAAAATCGAAAGGAAAATGAAAGCAAAAATGTGTGGAAAAAAAACATTAAATTAGAAGTTGACCGTGTAAAATTATTATTATTATTTTTCTTTGGATATTTTAGAATTCTTTAAAAAAAATAAAGAAAGTATACTTAAAAAAAGTGTATCTATAACATTTGGTCTCCACTTTTAGTATGACCTTTTTACCCTTAATAACCACCATCTTAATATAAGTCAATGTCATTTCTATATTTTTAAAATCTTTTATTCCTCACCAAATAACCTTTTTAAGTAACTGCACTCATTATTCCCACTCTCGCAATTTCGTCTTTCTTGCTTCCTCTCTTTTTGTTAAGCCAACTACACATCGATGCATAATCTATTATCCATTACGGTATATCCTCTCTCACTTTCTCTATTATACTTTCCATTATATACATCCCCTTCATTCTTGGTTTCATTTCATTTTGTTTTCCTTTCATTTTGAATGTTTCCTCTAAAAACATAAACTATACATAGTTAATAGTGTGACTTATAAAGGTTCAGATGCGATTTGGAGTAATTTTGTTTTCTTTTATTTTTGTGCCTTTGCGCTTATGTATATTAGATTTCCTTGTTTCGTTCACTTTGAAAAATTGCTCCATGTTGAGGTTTTCTCATAGTTCAAATTTGTTATAGGTTTATTGGAATTTTTGAATGAATATTTGGGTCTGGAATATTCACATCGCATTTTCCCCGCAAATTGTTTCATTTCAACCGTCAAATTGACTTCCCTTAATTGGATAAAGTTTAGAATAACTGATAGGTATTTATCCTTTGACAACTTTATGATATTGTATTGCGAAGAACTAAGGGTGGTTGTACTTTCAGTACAAAAGGCATTGCTTTCACTTTAAATAACTTAACCATTGAAATAAGTATCAAATAATGGTCTGAGACAATTTCCTTAAATGAGGATGCTATTATTTAATAAGAATAAATCAATCTATTAAAATGCTTTTTTTTTAATAAATGACAATAATTTAGTTTTGACTTTAGTTTTTAGGTTATTTTTAATGCTTAGTTTGCATTTGTAGTATTAACATTTTGCAATAAAATTAAGATCTAACACTTTGTGGTTCCCTATACTTCTACTAAAGTAATTCTTCCATTTTTTTCTGGCTTTTTTCATTGATATTTTCTATTATTTATTTCGCATATAAGAAAGATTTTAAATAAAAGTCATCATTGAGAATATCTTCATTATTCACGTTAAATTTCAGAACTTTCCTTTAATTTTATTTAACAACCATAATATGTGCCATTAAATAATAACAATAATTTTTTTATATAATTAAATTAATTACATACATTTACGTAATTAATAAACTCAATGTATTTCTCAAGTTTAGTCTTTTTTTTACAATGATTTTT